GTGTTGTGTGTGTTGTGTGTGTGTTGTGTGTGTGTGTTGTGTGTGTGTGTTGTGTGTGTGTGTTGTGTGTGTGTTGTGTGTGTGTGTGTTATGTGTGTGTTGTGTGTGTTGTGTGTTGTGTGTGGTGTGTGTGTGTGTTGTGTGTGTTGTGTGTTGTGTGTGTGTGTTGTGTGTGTTGTGTGTGTGTGAGTTGTGTGTGTTCTGCGTGTTTTGTGTGTTGTGTTGTGTGTTGTGTGTGTTGTGTTTGTTGTGTGTGTTGTGTGTGTTCTGTGTGTTGTGTGTGTTGTGTGTTGTGTGTGTGTTGTGTGTGTTGTGTGTGTTGTGTGTGTTGTGTGTGTGTTCTGTGTGTGTGTTCTGCGTGTTTTGTGTGTGTGTTGTGTGTTGTGTGTGTTGTGTGTGTTGTGTGTGTGTGGTGTGTGTGGTGTGTGTGGTGTGTGTGGTGTGTGTGGTGTGTGTGGTGTGTGTGGTGTGTGTGGTGTGTGTGGTGTGTGTGGTGTGTGTGTAGGTTTTAAAGGTTTGTTTAGGTTTTGAAAGTTTGCGTAGTGAATGTTTGTGAAGGCTTTAAAGATGTGGAAGGGTTAGGTGTGAAGGTTTGAAGGTGGGCGGGCAAAATATCCGCGCCAATCAGCAGCTGTTGGGATTGGCGGTTGATCTTAGGCAGTATGCATAGGATGTGTGGTACTTTGTCCAGAGTAGAACATGGAGCTTTTTTTGAATCCGAACTCAAGCATCATACCAAGCACCTCCAAGGGGCACTTTTGTGAAGCCCGGGCACGCCCGGTATGGTTCAGAGCTCTAGGTTCAGAAAGGCCCAACCCAGGCTAAGGCCATTGGACTCCCCGAAGCGTTGGTTCTACCAAGGCTGCAAAGGTTTACACAGGGCTCGCTAAAACGCCCGTCTGCCGCGTGATCCATGGAGGTTCTGGGCGCTCGAGTGCCAGCAAGTTTGGATTTGAATGAAACTGACATTTAAGTACCTGAGATGTATCGACCCCTGCGAAGCGTGCAATTTCTGTGTGGCTAGCGAGGAAAACGTCCGTACCCCGAAAGACCTTCAAACAAGAAACAAGGTCAAATCGTGCGACCCTGCCCTGAAAAAAAGCCAGATGGGCCCCAATTGAGAAGGAAACCTTCGACCAACTTTCTGTGTGGTTCGGTCATCTTTGAGGAACCAAAAAAGCATTCGAGAGCCAACAGCCCGACCGATTCGAATGGCACTCTCTTGTTCTCTTAAGATTGCTTTCTGGAGAAACCACGAGGAATCCCACCCATTTTATGGGCCCCCCATTTTGAGACAACAGCCTGAGCAGCCCGGCCAGCTGCACTCGCTCGCCCTCGCACAGCTCCTCACGTAGCTAAATTCCCCAAAATCCTTTCGGAGAATGAGCCCGCTTGGCACTCCAAATGGCTGTGGGTCAAAACCCTGTACCCCTGGTGAACATCAAAGTAGGTGGCAAATGGATGTTCGTCCACCCCAAAATGGAGCCACAGGTTGATTGGTTGAGTCACAACTCGTTGGGGTTAAAGGATTGAAATGAGAACTCGGCTCGGAAGGCTCCCTGTCCTTGGTCATGCTTGCGTAGGATCAGGGCGCGGTGGTGTTGCTCGTGCTGGCGGTGCTGTGCTAAATACATGAAATCAACCAACCGGTCTTGCAAAACACAACGGCCCTAAATTTCTCGCGGTCGCACGTCTCCTCGATGCCGGCCATAAGTCGGAAGAGACCTGCGCAGGTCCGCTCTCAGAAGCTTCAGAAAATCCCTGAGAGCCACAATCCAAACCTTACCCTTCCTCCCACTAGATGGCACCTGTGGGACCTGGAAGATCAGCTTCCTCTTGGAGGGACCCTCTGTGTTAGTGGGAGAGAGGGTAAACGGTCTTGGGAAAACCATGTGGGTGCGTTGATCGGGGCGAAAGCACGTTGCCGCTTGAGGTTGTTGTCATCGGGATTGCGACCGTCTGCAGGTGGATGCCAAAAAACTGTGGACTTGTTCGACTTTGTACTACGCCCGCGGGCGACTGTTTGTTGGGATCGGCGCGGTTGATTTCAAAAAACGATTCTGCGGTCCGCGGTTTTTCTGCGGGGGGATTCCTTACATGGGTCTGACACTCTTTGACGATCCCCTTTTCTTGTGGCTTTTTTGAAGAAAGGAAAACCGGCATTCGCTCTCTGCGAGTGCTCCGTGCAGTTTGTTTGCGCAAGTTGTGATTTTCCGCTGGAATGCGCTTCCCGTGCTACTTTTGTACTCAACAGTAGCGACTGTCCCATGCACCCAGCGCGGACCTAATGCGAGAGCTGTGCCGCAACACACGAGACAACTTCCAAGGACCAACTCGCAAGAGGTCAAAGCAACAAAGTTCGAACGGGACCACAGCGAGAGGCACGATCCCCGAAGGATCGACCCGAGGACCACAGAATCGCGAAATGTCCTCAGCTTCTTTAACATCGACGCAGAAATCGTAAACAGTCCCGGACACGCAGAGGGTCACGCGGGATCCCCGCAGAGGGTTGATCCGTTTTATATTTTTAGACACCGACCACGCCGATCCCCGCAAAGCGTCGGGCGAATGTTTCAAAACCCAAACAGTCCTCAGCTTTTTTCGACATCCACCACGCCTCCCATGTAAAGAATCGAGAAGGTGGATATCCGCTGTGGACTATCCCTCGCTAATCTTTATCTACCTGGGCTTCGGTTGCGGCACGAGGACACAGGGTCTCTGCTTCAAAAAGTCCACCAGGCACTGCTTAAATGGGTTAGGTCCACATTGCAGGGGTTCGATTCCTCCCAGTCCGGCTCCCCACACGGCACCAACAAGGAAAAGCAAAATGAAAGCAAAGAACAGCAAGTGACAGCAAGGGACAATGAGGGAAAGCAAGGCCGAGCAAGGAGAAGCAAAGGAACAAGCAATGCAAAGCAAGGGAAAGCAAGGGCAAGCAAGGACAAGGAATTGCCTTGCTTTCCCTTGTCTTCCCTTGTCTTCCCCAGCTTTCCCTTGCTTTGCTTTGCTGTCACTTGCAGCCCCTTGCTTTCCCTTCCTTTCGCTTGCTTTGCCATTGCTGTCCTTTCCATTGCTTCCTTTCCCTTGCTTTTCCGTTTTCCCTTGCTTTGCTTTCCCTGGCTTCCTTCTCCTTGCTTTCCCTTGGTGTTCCTTGCTTTGCTGTTGCTTTCCCTTACTGTCCTTGGCTGTCCTTCTTTCCTGGCAAGGAGAAGCAAAGGAAAGCAAAAGACAGCAAATAACAGCAAGGGAAGGACAGCAAGGGACAGCAAGGGACAGCAAGGGACAGCAAGGGATAGCAAAGGAAAACAAGGGAAAGCAAAGGGAAAGCAAAGGGACAGCATTGTGTTTGTCAGTCTCGTCGCTGTCCGTTGGCGCCGCGCTGGTTTGCAGAGGGCCCTCCTCTTAGACCCACTGTTACGTTTCATGCTAAGATGGGGGGGTATCTTCCATGTTAGGCGCTTGATGAGAGGAAATGCGTGAGTCCCGCAACTTGCTGCGGCCATCTCTTCTTTCACCGTCTGACATGCTTCGTTTGGTTTGCTTTTTGGGGTTTTGGGGGCAGTTTCGCACAATTAAGGGGCTCCTCCAGTTGGTTTCCTGGTCCCCCCAAATCCCCCCCCCCCCTCCAAAAACAACCACCCTCAAGCGCCTGGCTACTCCATGGCGACCGGAAGAAAACCGCGAAAAACCGCGAGATGGACTGCTTGGAGGAAGCTTTCCGCTCCGAGCCGACGCATCTCCAAGCCATGACTTGAGGTAATTTAGAAAACTTGGCTGATCTGATCGGGAGTGTCACTTTGAGAAGCGGGTCAGATCCCTTTTGGAGGGAATTCTGCAAAACAGGTTATAACTTTGAGGGTCAACATCACCGTTGCCCCAGACCGAAGCCCAACGCACTTCCACGGGGAACAGCGGTGTTCTCGGTCTGCTTCGACGATTTGCGTATCTTCTACATTTGGGCTCAAGGGCCTCTTGTATACTCTCAGAGCCATCAGCGACCCCCCCAAAAAAAATAACCATCCTGAACTTCCTCAACATCCATGACCTGATGCTTCCTTATTGGTTCTGAGATAGATACAACAACATAGTGAACCGTGACAGTGAGCTAATCCGATGAGTAACAAGTGAACCGACGGCCAACCAGATGAGTGGTGGTTTTTGTGACAAGAGAAGGAAACCGACCATTCTTCAGGGATCTTCTCATTTTTGAGACAAGCTCAACTGCACGCACGTGTGTAGCTAAACATGGAGCGGGCATTTCCTAAATTAGGACAAGAGATGACACGAGCCTTTGTCACACATCTTCGTTCGGGGGGCGCCAAACGCTATTCGCACCCCCCGAAAACACACCCCGTCGGAAAGAGTAAAATAGCCCCACTCGTGGGGCAGTGAGAACAAGCACCCCCAAAATCTGCTTGTTTCACTTTTCCTTTTCGGCCTCCTTCCGGTCCAACCCATTTTCAGCCCCGCAAAACCTTGCGACGTGGTTCTTTTCGCACTGCAGGAAATGCCAAGTCGAGCATTGGCGTGGCTTGAAAGCAAGCCGTCCGCAGAGGCAACGTCTGGACTTCAACTTACGGGTGTGCCTTAAAATGGCTGTGGGTCAAAATTAGGTACCTAAAATGGCTTGCCCTGGTAAATGGAACCAAAGACTAAAACCTGCGGTCCAATTCCTGGTGGCTTAATTTTGACCCACACCCAAACAGGGGCTTGGCCTTCTTTTACAGAAAGGGCACCCTGAAAGAAGACACATACTTTTCCTCAATAGCCCAACAAAAGTATTTTAACGACTGGTGGGGGGGGGGGGCCGGTTCTGAGTTGGGGTTTTGGATCTTCAAGAACTAACAATGTCACAGTAGCCGTTAATCACCAGAAGTCAAAATCCAAACAACAAGTGAGATCCCAATCAAACAATGTAATAAGGCTGCTCACGCGCCCAAAGATGTTCTGGGGTGAACATGTCGGGTCGAGTTGGCCTCTCAAAAAAATAGGAATCGGAACCATTTCAATTGTGCTGGGTTTGCCGGAGCGTTTGGTCGACGTCCACCAACCATTGGCCACTGTGTTCCCGAAACGGAAAATAGAGGAATCGAAGCCTTAAGCTGACACATGACCGAGATACCGTGGCCATGTTGGCCTCCCCATCGTCGTCGGCCTCGAAGAGGTCATCCAGGTCTTCCAACGGCCGCACCTCCTCTGCCCAAATGGGAGCAATCCGCTAGGTTATAGGGAGTAACAAGTTAGCATACCCAACCAACACGCACAGTTTGCAAATCGGCAAGGAAATGGGTCGGCCACAACTGGAGGTCCATGTGCTAGCTTGTTACTCACTAAGGAAAAGCGCCCCATGTTAGAGGCATCACTTTGAGAGGAAACATGTGGTCCAAACCGGACGAAAATTTGAGGAAATGATGACATCCAAGTGAGACAACTTGGGTTGCTTTACCCCACACTGCCTTGGCAAACAATTTAGCATACCCAATTCGTACAGCAGCAATTCAGCCAGGTGTGCTTGTGTGTGCTTGTGTGGTTGTGTGCGTACGCGTGTGCTGGTGCGGTGTTGTGGGGGCCAGTGCGTGGGCGCATGCTTGGCCGTGTGGGCAAGCGGGCGGGCGCATGCGGGCGCGTGGGCAGCCTGTGGGCAGGCGCGTCGGCCTGTACGTGTGAGCGCGGGCGTGTAGCGTGGGTGTGTGGGTGTTTGTGGTGTGGGGGTGGGTGTTTTTGCGTTTGTGTTGGATTTGTGTTTGTGATTCTGTTTGTGTGTTCTTTTTGGTATGGCACCTGTTCACCTTGGTTTGACGGGAAACAAAATGGAAAGCCCGAGCCGTGGCGTTTCGACTTCTACATCCGCTTCGGCTCCGCTTCGGCTCCTTCTGGCTTCCTTCTTTCACCAAAGATACTGGTAAACCAGGCCGTAGGCGTTTTGAAGAAATAGATGGCGTGGGATAAAACACGGAAACGGGGGTGCCGCTGGCGCCGAGCGGCGCCAGTAGCTGTCCGGTGGAGATACCTCACTCAACCCCGGGGTGGCTGCTCGCTTTGGCTTGGCGGTTCAAATGGCTGGTCAAAAAATAGGGCAACCCCAAAATGGCTTGCCCTGGCAAGTGGAAACGTAGCCTAAAATCTGCGGTCCCCTGGTGGCTTAAGTTTGACCCGTACCTAAATCCCCGACCCTTTCCCGGGTCAGAAGTGCCCATTTCTGTGTCGGTCATTTTCTACCTAAGATCTAAAAGTATGAGCTTGCAAGAAACCAGGCGGGAACCGACCTCTCAAGTGGCCCAAAAAATCCTTTCTGGCGATCAGCCTCCTACGTGCTGGGCTGGCAGGGATGCCTTGTGAACTTGGCAGCAATGGCCATTCTCACTTCCACGTCCTTCTGGGCTTGGCCAGGGATCTGGGAGACAACCAAATGGATACACAACCCGCCTGGCCGCCAATCCAAAACGGCTTCCCGGAACTGACATGCGTTTGACAGGGGTAACTCGCCGTGGCAGATCAAGGCTCTAACACTCTTGCCGGAGGTTACTTGCAATGCGCGAAGATTTACTTAACCTAAATTGGGTAAGTGTTGTTTTGGATTCATTGGGCTTTGCATAGAGTCGCCCGTGCAGACAGCTTTTTTGAGGCGAGTTCACGGGCGTGGGCGCGTATCATCAATAATCACCTTCAGTGTGAGCTTGACACTCCTGTCACTGGCATTTGAGCTGTCCGTGTCAACCGTTCCGGGAGGCCATCCAAGTCACAATCATGAACATCACGATCACAAACATCAAACACGTCTCACACAAACACATACACAACTCTCGCATTCTGAAAGTTGTTGGTTCCCTAGAAAGGCTGAAGGACGTAAGCCCCTTGGGCGATAGGCCCAAATACCAGGACGGGCAATGCTCCCGGGCGCAGCTGTTCAGCAAAGTCCGCTCCACATCGCGAGGAAAACGTCTCCTAGCTAAATGGATTTCACAGGTGTCTAGTTGCATTCCAAAGAAGCTTGGCAAAACGAAACATCTGAGTCCATGAGAGATTCGGGGCAAAACTCTGCGCTGGGGATTCGCAAACTGTCGCTGCTCGTTTTCAGGCAACTCTTCGCGACACACTTAAAATCTTCCATCCTGCAAAATTTCGACGAACCTGTCAGCACCGTACAAAAAATCATTTGGGCAACCTCCAGAAATGCCAATCGCTCGTCTTAGCGATGTGTGCCCTGTGAGTCCAGGGTCAGCGTGGCGCATCACAACCAAAAACAGCTATGCTTCGTAGCGGGGCCTTGCAGAACACTGCGCAACTGACTGCGTCACATGCCTCAATCTCTATCTTTCTCTTGCTTGGCCCAAAAAATCCTTTCTGGCGATCAGCCTCCTACGTGCTGGGCTGGCAGGGATGCCTTTTGAATCTGGCAGCAATGGCCATTCTCACTTCCACGCCCTTCAGGGCTTAGCCAGGGATCTGGGAGACAACCAAATGGATACACAACCCGCCTGGCCGCCAATCCAAAACGGCTTCCCGGAACTGACATGCGTTTGACAGGGGTAACTCGCCGTGGCAGATCAAGGGCTCTAACACTCTTGCCGGAGGTTACTTGCAATGCGCGAATATTTGCTTAACCTAAATTGGGTAAGTATTGTTTTGGATTCATGGGGCTTTGCATAGAGTCGCCCGTGCAGACAGCTTTTTTAACAGAATTGAGGCGAGTTCACGGGCGTGGGCGCATCAATCATCACCTTCAGTGTCAGCTTGACACTCCTGTCACTGGCATTTGAGCTGTCCGTGTCAACCGTTCCGGGAGGCCATCCAAGTCACAATCATGAACATCACGATCACAAACATCAAACACGTCTCACACAGACACATACACAACTCTTCCAAGGTCACCGCATGGTTCTGAAAGTTGTTGGTTCCCTAGAAAGGCTGAAGGACGTAAGCCCCTTGGGCGATAGGCCCAAATACCAGGACGGGCAATGCTCCCGGGCGCAGCTGTTCAGCAAAGTCCGCTCCACATCGCGAGGAAAACGTCTCCTAGCTAAATGGATTTCACAGGTGTCTAGTTGCATTCCAAAGAAGCTTGGCAAAACGAAACATCTGAGTCCATGAGAGATTCGGGGCAAAACTCTGCACTGGGGATTCGCAAACTGTCGCTGCTCGTTTTCAGGCAACTCTTCGCGACACACTTAAAATCTTCCATCCTGCGTCTTTTCGACGAACCTGTCAGCACCGTACAAAAAATCATTTGGGCAACCTCCAGAAATGCCAATCGCTCGTCTTAGCGATGTGTGCCCTGTGAGTCCATTGTCAGCGTGGCGCATCACAACCAAAAACAGCTATGCTTCGTAGCGGGGCCTTGCAGAACACTGCGCAACTGACTGCGTCACATGCCTCAATCTCTATCTTTCTCTTGCTTGCCCAAAAAACAGTCTTCTACGTGCTGGGCTGGCAGGGATGCCTTTTGAATCTGGCAGCAATGGCCATTCTCACTTCCACGCCCTTCAGGGCTTAGCCAGGGATCTGGGAGACAACCAAATGGATACACAACCCGCCTGGCCGCCAATCCAAAACGGCTTCCCGGAACTGACATGCGTTTGACAGGGGTAACTCGCCGTGGCAGATCAAGGGCTCTAACACTCTTGCCGGAGGTTACTTGCAATGCGCGAATATTTGCTTAACCTAAATTGGGTAAGTATTGTTTTGGATTCATGGGGCTTTGCATAGAGTCGCCCGTGCAGACAGCTTTTTTAACAGAATTGAGGCGAGTTCACGGGCGTGGGCGCATCAATCATCACCTTCAGTGTCAGCTTGACACTCCTGTCACTGGCATTTGAGCTGTCCGTGTCAACCGTTCCGGGAGGCCATCCAAGTCACAATCATGAACATCACGATCACAAACATCAAACACGTCTCACACAGACACATACACAACTCTTCCAAGGTCACCGCATGGTTCTGAAAGTTGTTGGTTCCCTAGAAAGGCTGAAGGACGTAAGCCCCTTGGGCGATAGGCCCAAATACCAGGACGGGCAATGCTCCCGGGCGCAGCTGTTCAGCAAAGTCCGCTCCACATCGCGAGGAAAACGTCTCCTAGCTAAATGGATTTCACAGGTGTCTAGTTGCATTCCAAAGAAGCTTGGCAAAACGAAACATCTGAGTCCATGAGAGATTCGGGGCAAAACTCTGCACTGGGGATTCGCAAACTGTCGCTGCTCGTTTTCAGGCAACTCTTCGCGACACACTTAAAATCTTCCATCCTGCGTCTTTTCGACGAACCTGTCAGCACCGTACAAAAAATCATTTGGGCAACCTCCAGAAATGCCAATCGCTCGTCTTAGCGATGTGTGCCCTGTGAGTCCATTGTCAGCGTGGCGCATCACAACCAAAAACAGCTATGCTTCGTAGCGGGGCCTTGCAGAACACTGGGCGACTGAGGGGCAGTAAAACTGCGTGACATGCCTCAATCTCTATCTTTCTCTTGGTCATGGCATCTCTCTTGCTTCCACTTCTTTCAGGGCTTTGCCAGGGATCTACAAGACAACGAAATGGATACACATCGAAAACCTCAGATGCACCAATTGCTGCCAAAACCCTGGTCATTAGGTCACGAACGAGTCCTTGGGAGACATCGCTTGAAAAAAAGGCACTGCAGGCGTGATGCTTGCTGTGTTCGACTTTATCGCGTAGGAACGGTCGCGCACAGCTTGCCGCGGCACCATGCTGGCTATCTCCTTTGGTCAATGACCGTCGCCTGAACCGTACCTCAAATGCGCCTCAGCGTCTATTTGACACGAAGCGCTCGAACGTGCAAGTGCGCCTTTCCCGCGGGCAACTCCGCGCTGGTAAGCAAACAACAAGGGAGATATGCATCTACGCTTGGCCCTTACTTCCAATGCATAAGCTGCAGGTTCAAGCGTGGAGTTGCCCCGGTCATCCCCAGCCCTACGCGGCAAGCCCTTGCAGCCGTTCCAGCTCCGCTTCAGCACGCGTGCCCGACAGCAAGATCAGCTGGCGGAAGCTGAGCCGGCGCAGGGCCCGGTTCAGCTGACTGATCCTCGACGGTGGCAAGGCGCAGCCAGCACGCGGCAGAGCGGCCAAGCGGCTCTCCATCTCCGCAAGAAGGCAATCCGCTCCAGTCACCTTGACTTGGACCCCATGCAAAGAGTTAAATAATTGTTTTGCTGGTGAGGTAAATTTACAGTTACTGAAAGGTATGCTTTTTGGTCTGGCTCCAGGCACGTTCTTGGCGCGCAGGTATGGCAGAACTAGCGCGAGGATTTCCGCCTGGCATAGGCCGTTTAAGGTCTCGCGCATCCTCGAGTTCAGCTTGGCGGGCTGGTGTGGCAGGTGGCAAAACTTGCACTCCCCGCCCTTGGGGCACCCTCCTTTCGTCATGAAGAGGCACGGCTTGAAGCAGAGCTCCGGGTGACCCAAACTGCCAAAGGAGATGATGATGATGGCCTCCTTTTCCAGCGCTTCTGCCTTGGAAGCCGCGGCGACATCTTCAACCGCCATGGCTTCGGCCTCGTGAACCGCTGCCGGCTCGTGGGTCGGAACCGGCGGAGTCAGCCCAATGGCCCGCTCGAGGCTGGCGACGTACAAGGCCTCCGGAGAGCTTCGCCGCAAGGTCCTCACAGGAGAGCTCCTGGCGCGGGCATCGGAACCGATCGCGTCCTTCACGGTGATGAAGGTGTTCTCATAGCACAACTGCGCCATCCTTGCCCTTGGTCTCGTCGGATCAAAGCACTGGGCCAAACTGCGGAACTGATGCGATGCTTTTTGGGAGACACGACAAGCTTGCTGCCTGAACCTCTACTCCTTGCCGTTGCCTGGCTCCAAGCAACCTTCAGGAGGATTGTTCTTTTCCCAACCCGCAGAAATCAGAAACAACCATTTGACCTGCTTGGAGGCTCTTTGTCGCATTCGACGTCTCAAGCCCTGCGCAACTTTGACATGTTCTGTTTTGAATATACTTCCTGCTTAGACTCGACAAAGCAGAATGCTGCATGATATCCAGCTGTGTTGTTGGAATTGAGGTCGCGAAGCGTCACGGAAATAGAGCACATGTCTCTTGGAAACCCACTCAAAGAATTGGCCCAAAGGTGATGCTGAAAGCCACCCGTTAAAGGGAAATATGGGTATGAATTTTGATTGGGGAGCTTTTTGGCGGACGTCCACCAACCATTGGCTTCCCAAAAGGGGAAATAGAGGAATCAAAGCCTTAAGCTGACGTGACCGAGATACCGTGGCCATGTTGGCCTCCCCGTCGTTGTTGGCCTCGAAGACTCCATGGTCTTCAACTGCACCTCCTCCCCCCGAATGGGAGCAATCTGCTGGGTTGTAGGGAGTAACAAGTTTGCATACCCAACCAACACGCACAGTTTGCAAATCGGCAAGGAAATGGGTCGGCGTCCACGTGCGAACTTGTTACTCACTATAGAAAAGAGGCCCATTTTAAAGGTATCGCTTTCGGAGGAAACATGTGGTCCAAACTGGACGAAAGATTGAGGAAGTGATGGCATCCAAATGAGACAGCTTGGGTGAGCTTGCTTTACCCCACACTGCCTTGGCGAACAATTTAACATACGCAATTCGTGCAGGTAGCGTTTTCGTTGACCTCGGTTTGCGAAGCTTTCGTGTGGATTGCGCGCAAGCTTTTCTAAGCAGTGTGTTTGTCGTTCACACAGCAACCCACAAAGACTTGTCCCGCTGAGGTCGCTCCCGGCAATTCAATGCCAGCAACATACCCTTGACCCAACAGAAAGAACAGCAGGCTCTGCCACACAGCTTGGACACAGCCTGAAAGAAGTGCATGTTGCGGGTGCCTATCCATTGCTTGAACCGCGCCGCTGAGGACATCCGAGACAGCATGGCTAGATGTCTTGCTGGGGCTTCTCGTGCTTGCGCGCAACTTGCGCGCGGCTTGCGCGCGGCTTGCGCGCGGCTTGCGCGGATTTTGTCTTGTCAATTGCTGATTGTTGAAGTCATGACCGCAGAAGCTTTGGCTTCGTTTGGCGTCTGACTGATTCGAAAGGCACAAGTACAGCAAGAAAATATCACCTCCTTTCATGAAGCTAGGCAACATCAGTACATGAAACCCTTCAAAACTGTATGTAACCTTGCGCGTCCCTTGGGCCGCACTTGCGCGCTCCTTGCGCGCGCACAGCTTTTGACAACTTTTACTTCTCCCTGTTCGGCGAGAGTTAAAACCGAAGACTCGGGTTTTAGGACGGCCCTCATGTGTACACGCGTGCGTGGGCTCGTGGGCAGCGCGCGGGCGTGGCCGGGCGCGTTGGCATGCGGGTGTGAGCGTGGGCGTCTAGTTTTTAGTGTGGTGCGTGGGTGTTTGTGGGTGTTTGCGTTTGTGTTTGTAGTTGTGTGTGTGCTTGTGTGTTTGTTATTTTGGTGTGGCACCTGTTCACCTTGGTTTCACAGGAATGCAAGTCGACAACCCAAGCCGTTCTGGCGATTTGACTTCGCTCAGCTTCAGCTCCATGATCACACCGATAGCACAGCCATCGCTTTCCAACATCCATCCGCTTCGGAGCTCCCCCAGTGCCCCCTTAGTGAGGGGAAGAGGGGAAACTACCCCACAGGTGTCCTGTGAAACATGCACCACAGTTTCTGACTTTGACACCAGTCAAAATCCCGGTCCTCTTCTGGCCCGAGGCGAGTCAGAAATACCTCAGACTTCAAGCCGGGGGTGTCACCTTACCCCCGATTGGTTTGGCTGGGCTCGGTTTGGAGGTGTTCCAGGGCTTCCCATTTGCCCACAAGAAGCAGAGGTTCAAATCCCCAAATCACCAAGGAAGGGTTACCTTATCTGCATCTACCGGTCAGTTCGTTGAGCAAGCGAAAACACTGCAGCTGCCCAGGAAGTGTAGGTCATTTTCAACCCGGAACCGACCTCAAGTGGCCAATGGGAATCATTGAACACCAGGGGCAAAGCCCCGCAAAGCTCCACTTCTTGGATCTGCTTTTTGCTGTGACGTCCTTTTAAAAGTCCAAGGGATCTGCAAAACCCCTGGTTTTGGAGGATGAATGGCAAACAAACCATCTACAAGCTTCGCATAACTGTCTTTAGGAGGACCCTCAACCTCCGTTGCTTTGTCAGAGTTGTAGAGTTTAGGGTTCAGGGGTTCAGCGGGTAACTTGCCGCCCAGAATCGGGCATGTACTATTTAGGATGCATAGGGCTCTGCATGGAGTTCTCCCGTTCAGACAGCTTTTTGAGGCGAGTTCGCAGCCATCAGCTGGCTTAGCGTTCCTGTCGCTGTCGGTGTCAACCGTTCCTGGAGGCCGTTATCAGAAACATCAGTGAGTTACATCAAACACGTCGCAAACACAAACAGTCTTCAAATGCCCCTCCGAAAGTTGTGCTTGGCTCCCAGAAAGGCAGCAATAAGTCTGCTTGAGCGATCGGCCCAGATAATACCAGAGGCCATGGTCACGAGCGCGTCTGTTCAGCAAAAGTCAAGACGAAACATCTGAGTCCATGAGAGATTCGGGGCAAAACTCTGCGCTGGGGATTCGCAAACTGTCGCTGCTCGTTTTCAGGCAACTCTTCGCGACACAATTAAACTCTTCCAGCCTACGTCTTTTCGATGAGCCTGTCAGCACCGCACAAAGATTCATTTGGGCAACTATGCTTCGTAGCAACTGACTGCGTCACATGCGTCAATCTCTCTTTTTTTCTTGCTTGGCCACACCATTTCCTTTCTGGCGGTCAGCCTCCATGTACTGGGCTGGCAAGGATGCCTTTTGAATTCAATGGCCATCACTGTCACTTCCACGCCCTTCAGGGCTTGGCCGATCTGGAAGACCACGAGTTGGATACACATCTAGCAAACCTAGGTGCACCAATCCAGTGTGGCAATCTCTCCCAAAGCCCTGGTCGTTCCCTGAACGGTGCCAGACTGCGCCTACGCGTCTGGTTGACACAACCCGCCTGGCCGCCAATCCAAAACGGCTTCCCGTAACTGACATGCGTTTGACAGGGGTAACTCGCCGTGGCAGATCAAGGCTCTAACACTCTTGACTCTTGCCGGAGGTTACTTGCAATGCGCGAAGATTTGCTTAACCTAAATTGGGTAAGTATTGTTTTGGATTCATGGGTTTTGCATAGAGTCGCCCGTGCAGACAGCTTTTTTAACAGAATTGAGGCGAGTTCACGGGCGTGGGCGCATCAATCATCACCTTCAGTGTCAGCTTGACACTCCTGTCACTGGCATTTGAGCTGTCCGTGTCAACCGTTCCGGGAGGCCATCCAAGTCACAATCATGAACATCACGATCACAAACATCAAACACGTCTCACACAAACACATGCACAACTCTTCCAAGGTCACCGCATGGCTCTGAAAGTTGTTGGTTTCCGAGAAAGGCTGCACCCTCTTGGGCGACAGGCGCAAGTACCAGGAAGGGCAATGCTCCCGGGCGCAGCTGTTCAGCAAAGTCCGCTCCACATGACGAGGAAAACGTCTCCTAGCTAAATGGATTTCACACGTGTCTAGTTGCATTCCAAAGAAGCTTGGCAAAACGAAACATCTGAGTCCATGAGAGATTCGGGGCCAAACTCTGCGCTGTGGATTCGCAAACTGTCGCTGCTCGATTTCCGGCGCTTCTTGTTGATGCCCCGTTCAGAACTTCCATCCTATGAGTTCGCCCGTTGGCAACCTCCAGAAAAGCCAATCGCGCGTCTTAGCGATGTGTGCCCTGTGAGCCCTTACAAAGCTAAGCTTCCCCGGCCCTTGCAGAAATCCACGTCACATGCCTCAATCTCTATCTTTCTCTTGCTTGGCCCAAAAAATCCTTTCTGGCGAACAGCTCCTACGTGCTGGGCTGGCAGGGATGCCTTTTGAATTTGGCAGCAATGGCCATTCTCACTTTCACGCCCTTCATGGCTTGGCCAGGGATCTGGGAGACCACGAATTGGATACACAACCCGCCGGGCCGCCAATCCAAAACGGCCTCCCGTAACTGAAATGCACGTGGCAGATCAAGGCTCTAACACTCTTGCTGGAGGTTACTTGCAATGCGCGAAGATTTACTCAACCTAAATTGGGTAAGTATTGTTTTGGATTCATGGGTTTTGCATGGAGTTCGCCCGTGACAGCTTTTTTGAGGCGAGTTCACGGGCGTGGGCGCATCAAGAATCACCTTCAGTGTCAGCTTGACACTCCTGTCACTGGCATTTGAGCTGTCCGTGTCAACCGTTCCGGGAGGCCATCCAAGTCACAATCATGAACATCACGATCACAAACATCAAACACGTCTCACACAGACACATGCACAACTCTTCCAAGGTCACCGCATGGGAAAGTTGTTGGTTTCCGATAAAGGCTGAAGGACATAAGCCCTCTTGGGCGATAGGCGCAAATACCAGGACGGGCAATGCTCCCGGGCGCAGCTGTTCAGCAAAGTCCGCTCCACATGACGTGGAAAACGTCTCCTAGCTAAATGGATTTCCCACGTGTCTAGTTGCATTCCAAAGAAGCTTGGCAAAACGAAACATGTCCATGAGAGATTCGGGGCCAAACTCTGCGCTGTGGATTCGCAAACTGTCGCTGCTCGATTTCCGGCGCTTCTTGTTGATGCCCCGTTCAGAACTTCCATCCTACGGTGAGTACGCAGAACCTATCGTGCGGAAAAATACATGTCACATGCGTCAATCTCTATCTTTCTCTTGCTTGGCCACACCAGTGCCTTTCTGGCGGTCAGCGTCCATGTGCTGGGCTGGCAAGGATGCCTTTTGAATTTGGCAGCAATGCCCGATGGCCATCACTGTCACTGGCTTGGCAAGGGATCTGGGAGACCACGAATTGGATACACATCTAGCAAACCTCAGGTGCACCAATGCAGTGTGGCAAGCTCTCCCAAAGCTCTGGTCACTAGGTCAACCAAGGATGTTCCTGGAAAAAGGGCATGTGCCGTTTAGGAAAGTCGCACACAGCTTGCCGCCGCACCCGTTGTTTGCACGGTGCCTGACTGCGTCTACGCGCCTGGTTGACACGAAGTGCTCGTTTGCGTAAACGCGCAAAATCATACTTCACCAAGTTCCCATCCAGGAAAATAGCAGGAATCATTCCTACCTTTCCCGCGGGCAACTCCGCGCTGGTAAGCAAACAACAAGGGAGATATGCATCTACGCTTGGCCCTTACTTCCAATGCATAAGCTGCAGGTTCAAGCGTGGAGTTGCCCCGGTCATCCCCAGCCCTACGCGGCAAGCCCTTGCAGCCGTTCCAGCTCCGCTTCAGCACGCGTGCCCGACAGCAAGATCAGCTGGCGGAAGCTGAGCCGGCGCAGGGCCCGGTTCAGCTGACTGATCCTCGACGGTGGCACGGCGCAGCCAGCACGCGGCAGAGCGGCCAAGCGGCTCTCCATCTCCGCAAGAAGGCAATCCGCTCCAGTCACCTGGACTTGGACCCCATGCAAAGAGTTAAATAATTGTTTTGCTGGTGAGGTAAATTTACAGTTACTGAAAGGTATGCTTTTTGGTCTGGCTCCAGGCACGTTCTTGGCGCGCAGGTATGGCAGAACTAGCGCGAGGATTTCCGCCTGGCATAGGCCGTTTAAGGTCTCGCGCATCCTCGAGTTCAGCTTGGCGGGCTGGTGTGGCAGGTGGCAAAACTTGCACTCCCCGCCCTTGGGGCACCCTCCTTTCGTCATGAAGAGGCACGGCTTGAAGCAGAGCTCCGGGTGACCCAAACTGCCAAAGGAGATGATGATAATGAGGTGACCCAACCTGACACAGGGTTGAGGGGCACAAAAAGTAAGAAACGACCACGGCACCAGAAGGCACAAGTGGTAAGACACGGGAAGCGTCTTCACGAGTACAAGAAAAGGCCAGGGACTTGAAATCAATAAGGGGAATCCCGCGGGGAATTCGCCTTAGCAATGGCAATGTCTAAGGCACACGCCGCAACTTGACATCGAGCCCGTTGCATGGGGGAAGGGTGAGCATGCAGGACAACCCAACCAGATTTTGCCGTCACACGAGGCTGCAAGGACCACCAATCAGGTTGGAGAGCAAGCCGATCCGGGGCAAAACAAGGGCAATCAGAGAAAAAGTGGCGGGCAGAAGCACGCTGAAAATCACAAAAAGGGCAAACACACAAGTCGCTGTTACGCCTGTAATGGCGACGAGTAGGAGTGCGAGCCGCGCCCGAGCGCCAAATATTAAGCAGGGCACTATCCTCGCTGCTAAGGGAGCGAACCCAACGAGCCCAAATGAAATGGCTGGAGGCCTCAAGGTCGATGCTGTCAACGCCTTCAGAATCGAAACGCGAGAGCTTGACCAAACCCAAAGCAAGGAGCCGACCAGCTTGCCGCAAGACATGTTTGCCAAGAGGGCTCCAAGGGTTAAAAGGAGAGGCAGGATCAGGGAGCAGCGACGTAAGCCGTACGTCTGTCCCTGCAGGGAAGGCCAGAGCGAGACCATGCTCCCTGGTGAAGCGGTGCACAAGCATACCCAAAGCCGACGCGTAGGCATCAACAGCATTGGCGAGGTGAGGGGACAAGTGGTCAACGAAAGGGCGAACCCGCAACAAACCATGAATGGCGGCCCCGTAAATGGGATGCAGCTGAATGCGCTGGGCCCACCAGCGCCCAGCGCACCACCCGGTGCATTGAGAAGCCAAAATGGCTCGCAAGAGCTGCGGGGCGGCCGAAGCCGGCGGCAAACTCACCAAAGGACAAGCCCAGCGACACACAGGCATGATGAAGCCAGCGGCCAAACGTTCGCGGACATGAGCGGCACCCGGGATGGTGGCCAAACGCTGAATCGTGCCAACAAGCGGATCCCAGCCATTGCGAGGAAGGATAGGGCAGTTCGCATCGAAAAGGGCCAAGGACAGAATGCGGTGATGCTCCCCTTCAATCCAAATCTGCCGCTTGTCGATGTTTTCAGTGAGACCGACGGCATTGTCGAACTCACGAGTGAACTGAAGCACATCGAGCAAGCCTTGGCGCCCAGACGGGCCGGTGATAGCCAAAGTGCGATCATCAACGAAAGCCCAAAGGGTGCAGCTAGGACGAGGAGCAGAGCTCCAAGGAGCGAGCACGTATGCAAGTACGGCGCCGGGAGCCATATCAGCTTGGGGGAGCCCGCGGTAGCGACACACATCAGGGCGCAGGCCATGCCAGAGCAAAGCAGCTTCAGCAACGGAGTGGTCGACTGAAAAGCCTTGGCCAAGTCAATCTCAGCCACAGCGCTGGCCGGAGTGGTCAGGAAGGCAGCGGTGACTGCAAGGACTGAGCCACCCTTGCAAGCCCACTGGCCCTGCGGGGCCGCACGGAAAAGGGATGAGAGGATCGCCCGATGCCAGGCGCGCAAGAGACAGGAGCCGATGGATATGGGCCGAGACCCTGACCCACGCTTGGGCAAGCCAACGGTTTTCCAGGAAGACGCAGCCTGCACGAAAGCAGAAGCTTCCGACCGCGTGGTGTCACACCAAAGCTGATAGAGCTCAGTGCACAACTCAGGAAGGTGGTTCGGTAACGCCTTGAGCTCACACAGGGGGATCCGCATAGTCGCCCTTGGTATTATGACTCATGCCCTGCTGATACGGTGACCACCGAGTGCCCACATTCATGGAGCGGCCGTCTGAAAGCCGCCTGTTTGCCAGTTTGTGTCCAAGCCAGCCGTGGTCGCAGAATGGCTAGTCCCATCATTCTAATTGATCTCAGGCTGTCCTGTGAGGTGATCCCCAGTGACCGCAGCTGCCGCGGTATCCCAATTTATTCCGGCTGCCTCCTCAAAGGGTTACCACCACCCAGAATATGACCAGCCCCCGGAATACCACTGATTCCACTGCCGCCCACTCATCTTCTAACCACTGCCGTGGCTGCCACGTGCTGTAGACAGGCTCTCTAAGACCTTCATCGCTCCTCACTTCATCTAACATCGAAGTCCTCGCCATGTTCCCCAGATCGCTCCATCAGGAGCTCCAGTACCACTGTTGCTCGATCAAAAAACAAACATAATCACCAGCAAGAGCAACATCCCCTTTTTAGCACATTACCATAAAGTAAAAGCCAACGCCTTATCAACCATCATAGAGCAACATAATAATACCGCAAAACAAAATCTCAAATGTATTTTCTAATCCCATCATTTATTTCATAAAATTCAAATTAAGACCAACAACCAAACGCCCAAAACAACCATAATCAACATACATTGTTTTCAATAAATTCAAATGCCTTACCTAACATATCTTTCTCCATACCCATTATTCAAAAATCACAATTTTCCAATATAACCCGAATATATAAGCACATATAAAACTAATTTCTCAAAATGTAATCCATTTCAATATTATTCGCAAACACAACCTAATTCTAGTATCAATACGAAATATATGTCCATATAATATATAAAATCAACATCAAATACAATTAAAAATGCAAAATACATATATACACAATTATCCCCAAAAAGCCCAACAATATCCCTCCCCAACAAATACATATAAATGTATGTTAATATATAAATAATATATATATATATATAACTAAAACTTCAAATATCAAACTATGAATATATATATATTGATAGATAGACACCATGGGAATCCGATGACATTCGTTAGTCTCGATGAGACGGAGCTGACAGACTGCTAGCTCAGTGAAACATCCCTTTGGGAGGTGAACCTGGCCTGCTTTTAACACAGGTAGGAGAAAATGTGGAGACAAAAGAGAATCCCTCGCTCCGTCGAGCTTAGCATGGATAGTGCAAGATGACAATCTCCAAGTCATCCTGCTTGCGCATCTGAATTACCACGTCTTCTGGAGGGTTTGACCTTGGAATGCGGAGCGCTCGAGGGTCGAAGCAATTTGGGAGTGCTGCTACCTGCTCGCAGGCATCATGTTGGGGCGGATATGGCATAACAAGGCTGCTCTTTGAAGCTTTGACGACTTAGACGCTGACACACCGTTCACTGACATGATCCGATCGTGCTCTCTGACGCTGGCATCCGGGTTGTCCTGAACAATTGCAAGGGCGCACATGAATCCAGTCACCTAACTTCTCAGTCTGTACGCGCTTGGTCTGTCCCGCAGTAACATCAAACATCTTATCACACCAGAGTGGCAGGAAACCTTCATGCACTGCCTCTCTAGGCATTTGGACGGTATTCTGGACTCGACCATTCTGAGTTTTGTCAAGCATTTTGCAGGAGTCCATCTCAATCCCGCAGGAGCAGTTGTACTCAAAAGTCTCATCCCCAATGGCTCTGGTTCAGTTCTGAGATCTTCCAACAAGACCCACCGAAGTCTCTCGGATGAGGTCCAAACCGTGTTTTGCAGGAATCTCTCCGTGCCAAGCCTGATTCCAGCTATTCACCAATCCGTCGGCAATGGTATCAATCCACGGCTTCAGGGAGTAGTTGGGCATATAATTCGCGATGATGCCCAGCTTCCTCAGCCCAGCTCAGTGCGCAAATCCTCTGCACGCTTTATTAGATCCTCGCCAATGCAACTGTACCCACTCACCGTGCTATGCGCGCACACGCCTTCATGGTTTGCATCTGAAGAAGCAATCACCGGTGTTGAAGAACTCGGAGATTCAGCCAGGCTCCGTACTTCCCACAACAGACTACTTTCCATTTGGAGGTTTCACCTCACCCAGCCATGTAAACGAACCGGAACCGGAAAAACCATCATCTATTATGAGCCCCAATAGGCCATCCCCAGCGTGAACTCTGGACTCTTCTACCCTCCCACCGACCGACTACTCAGCCTGCGGTGACGATGAATGATTGTGCAGCCAGACGTTGCCGTGTTGGATCATTCGCCGAATGGTTTACAGGTCCGGTACATTCAAGCTGAGCTCAAGGCCAAACCATATCCACAGTGAAACCCACATGCACGTCAGCCGTGAGAGAAGACCAGAGTGAAGGATAGCACTTTGCAGGCTTGGATGTTTCTCCACCATGGGAAAAGAAAAGGCAAGTCCATGCCAAGGCTATCAACCTGAGCTCTCAACGTTCAGCCAGTGCTTGGACGAAACCATGGGCTCAAAAGCTTGCCCGTGAAACCTCCTGCATGAAAACGTCAACTTTTGCTTGAAGATGCAAGACGGGTTCAGTTCACTCTCCCAAATATTGTGTGATCCACGCTAGTATTCTTTTTTCAAAAGGACAGGCGATTGGGTTGTCCTAAGTCTGGGAAATTCGGATAGTCCCCCTCCCCAAACCAACCGTAGACAAATCTTATGGGTGTGTCTTGGTCCAAAAATCGGACCCCTAAAAAGTGCTTCGACTTTCCTCCCTGTAAACTCACCAAGCCAAGGGCTACCCTTCGCCTCCAAAAAAAAAGTCGCCCACGCGCCGCCCGCGCCCCGCGCCCCGCGCCGATCGATCCGGCGGGCCGGAGGCCAGGCGTCCCAGGGCGCTTCAGTCTCAGGGTGCGGATCTGCGGGCGCTGCAGCAGAAGGGTCACCTCTGCAGAGCTCACCTCCAGGGCCTTCGCCTAGCTCACCGGTGCTCTCTCTGTTCAGGCCTTCAGATCCCCTAAAAGCTTTTAACTGGTGGGTTAAATGGAAACTGCTTGCCTCAGCAAAACGGAACCCTGCTGTCTTTTGCAGCTGGTGCGATTCGCAGATCCCAAAATTTGGTTCTATAAAGGGACTATGACATATACAAGCATCCTGGGAGGTAATAGGTTGACCCTCCAATTGACATGGAACCTGACCTCGGTTGCTTGCTAACTTACTATGGGTGCTGTTCCCTAGTTTTAGTGGGAATCAGACCACATTTGGAGGGGTTCCCCCACCCCCGTATTCATAAACAGGGTCTATTCATCCGGGGTCTCCCCTGCAAAAGGTTTTTGATTTAGTGGTTTAATGGAAAACCCATTAGTTGGCTAAAAGTTAAAGTCCTAACATCCAAGCAACATGTAACGAAGGTTGGATTTCAACCATGAAATGGACGGGATTCTCTCGTTCGATGTGCGGGAGACGGAAGGAAGCAAGAATGGACACGGTTGGCTTTGTTTTGAGATGGGGCGCTTGGCTATATATAGAATAGAAAGTGAACCTCCTTTTAGCCCGGAAAGACAAAAAGCTCTGTTAAACAGGGACCGGTGCTCCCAATGGACTCACTATGAAAAGGGACATGGAAAGGAAACCCTTGCCGGGGGTGCAATTCCCTCTTTAGACACACACAAACACACTTTGGAGCCCACACACACGTCCTCCGCCCTGTTCTCACTTTTGTCGCAGCAGTGGCGGCGGGAAAAAAGGAGGCGGAAATGTGCAGCTCACCAGCATGGTGCACTTGTCCTTGAAACATATCGCTGTAATACTATTTCGCATCACTCCATTCTACTATCGTTTGAACTGGCCCTATTTCTTCTTTGTTTTGCCATCAAAGTCACCACTTTGATAACCCCCAACAGAACCAAAAGAATGCCCCCAGTTGAACACCCACCCACCCCTTTCTGCTCTGCCCGCTACCTGGCATCGAGTCATCGAGCTATCGAGGCTCCGGCCAGTTCTTTGCCGGGCGCAGGCATGCCCCCAACTTCCAGGATCCGGTCCATGACTGCAATCTGCTGGCCGGCCCGGCATGTCCTGAACATCGGTGTCCAGTTGGATGTGGGTCAAAACCAGGTACGCAAATGGAACTTTGGTAAATGGAAACAAGAACTAAACCCGCGGTCCATTGTCTCGTTACGGGGGTCCCCCAAGATGGATCTCGGTTTTCCTGTTGGTATCCTTCAAAACCAACCCAAAAGGGGCACCCTCATAAAAGACGCACTCATTTTGGAAACTCGACTTCCTGGGTAGATGATGGAACCACCAGGCAAACCAGGAATCACCACCTCAATCTTTCAAACCAAAAAGGACACTATGGTCCTGGCCAGGAGGGAACGAGCCCAACTTTTCCCATGGCACGGAAAATGGGATTTCAACCCGGCGCTGAACGCCCAGCGAGTCTTTCGACGCTAAAACCTGGCACGGGATGGGATCAGGCTCCCTCCCCTCTACCCAGACCCCAGACCCCATGATAGGACACGTAATTCAAGCGATTTCACCTACTTTGGAGGGGTCCCTATTGAAATTCACAGCCACAAGAGAGATGCCAATGTCCAATGACCCTCTTGTCTGCGCCACTTAGGCCAGGGAGCTTGTTCCATTCCGCCAATGCTGGTGTGATCTTCTTGATCATAACATAGTCCTTGGCAAGCAGGAATCGAGAAGCTGCTGATTCAGTCAATCAGAATAATTGATTTCCGGGCTTGTTTCGTGGACTCTAGCACCGCCCCTGAACCAAATGGTGAAGAACGATTGCCGGCCATCAGGTGCCCATCTTTTCCAAGAGACTGGGTAAAGGGCTACCTCTGGACCCTTCCATGACTGCAATGTTTGACTCCCTCAACATGATTCTCTGATTGAAGTCGCGTCCCGGGTACGGTGGCCCCACAGCAGCTCACAAAGTGATGGTGTGGTGTGTCACAGTGTCTGACCTTCATCTTCAACTTGCGAAAACAACAACCAAAAAAACACTCGCCAGGGCCTATGAAATGGGGTCCCCTAAGTGCCAAAAGGTTTCTTGATATGGGTCTCAAAAACGTGTTTTTTTCTTTTTGGTTTCAACCACCGGTGAGACGAACCAGCCCACCCATGGCACGCCGAAAAACAATTTGTGAACCCCATGGCGCCAAAAAAAGCGGCGCTTTCGTGAGTCGCAAAGCGGCGGTATCAGACTTCTCCAGCACCAAGTCCAGCTTTCCTTCTGCGTTCCGGCGCAAGGTGGCGTGAAAGCACTGCTTCTCCTCCTTAAGCCAACGCGTCTTGGTGAGGCAACAAAAATGCGGGCCCTGGAAATAACACGCCACTGGGTTTACCCCCGAAAAAAAACAAAGAAAACAACAAACACCAGGCAAAAGGGTACAAATCCAGTGGTTTGGAGGGGGATGCCATCTCCCTTTGAATCAACCTCAGAAGGGCACAACAAAGTTGGGTTGATCAAAATGGGGCAAATCCTGATTCTATTCCTTAGTGGGACAAGGAAAACCACTCCTGGCATAATCAACTGCCTGAATTCGGTCTTTGAACGGCCGAAAAAAAGCAAAGAAAGAGGACAACCAGTGCTTCATTTTGGCTCCCTTCAAAAAGCTCCCAAAGGCTCATAAGCTGGCTGCCCTTCCCGGACGACAGAAAGGCAGCTCACAAGACGAGGGATAGGGCAACGATGGGCGTACTGCAACCCATCTCCGGCCTCAGGCATAGCGCTTGAACCCAGTGCTGGGGTAGACCTCACGAGCTTCGTCTCCTTCTCTTCCTTAGCTGATCTCAAACACAATTAGGGCTCAACACACTCCGCCAGGGCAAAATCGGCTCAACAAGACCGAATCGATTCGCCTGAATCGGGGAATTCAAAGGAGGCTGCTTGAACAATGGGCTCCATGCCAATTGACCTCTGGAGAATCAACCCAATGTCGGACATGACACTCACCTTGCCTCTAAGGCCGCGCCCGAGCCGCGTGGCCAGCGACAAGACAAATATCGCAAATTTCTCAAAGTGACGGGTGTGACCATGAAACACGGTGTGGTCAGAAACTACGTCTTCTTCCTGAACTGCAGCTCAGATCAGGGTTCCACTTTTTGACTACCCAAAGATAGACTTAAACCCAGGGGTGGTTCATTCCCCCCAAAAGGAGAACCCTGGGTTTAAGTCTATCTTGGGATAGTCAAAAAGTGGAACCCTGGCTCAAACATTCCTTGGCCTTGACTTGCAGCTGCGCGGCCACATGCAGGGAATCGTAGCCCTCTTTCTCCTCCGTGCAGCAGCAGAAAAACATGGCGGTGAGCACCGCCTGCCAGGCTCCAGGAGCATGTCTATGTGCTTGGAACCTGCTAAACACTAACGAAGAAACGACCCATGCGTTTGATCTGTGTTGCATATGTGATGGAACTAGTCATTTTGTCATGTTCTCAAACCCTTCCGCGAAGCTTCCGCGGTGTGAAGGGTACCTCCGCGAGCATGTCTTTACGTACGTGCTTCCGCGTGCCTTCCTCGGACCAGTTCGAGAGGAGATGCGTGAAACACCACCCCAAACGAAATCAACCCTATCTCGCTCAATAACGCCCGGAGTTGCTGGCATTTCAACCAAGGGGTTGCTGTTGTGCATTGGCGACTTTTGGAACAATGGGTTTGCCTGGTAAATGGGCCATAAAACCAATTTCCAAACCAGAACTCCGTGCCCAAACTCGGCGATCCAAAGGACACCTATGGTCGTCGTGTGCTTCCCCGTCATTCACATTGCAACCATGCACTGCTTCCCGGCCTGAGCTCACAACTCAGGAAACTGAATCCCAATGCTTGGACATGATAGCTGCGAATCCGCGAGGGGAAGCCTTCCGTCCAATTCAAGTCCACCGGAAAAGCCAATTCGGAGAGCTGGAGCTACGGTGGATGCCAACTCAGTGTTGCAAGGGAACCAGGGAAGGAAACTTTGTACCTGCGATACAATATTGGTTTGTGGCCGGTTTACTTTGCAACATTGAGGTGGCATACCGCCAGGGGCCACCGGCTATGTCTCGAGCGGTCTCCCAAACAATCCCCAGGGCAACGCTGCTCCGCACCGCTTTTGGGATCCATGCGCTCTGGTCGGCCCGTCTTTTCGGTCTGCTCAGACGGTCAGACAGCCAGCTCCCAGCTCCCAGCTCCCAGCTCCCAGCTCCCAGCTCCGAGCTCCGAGTCGAGGGCCCCTTCACCTCGGCTAACGACCAAGTGGGGCTCTTGGCCTCTTGCAACACGGGCTCCCGCGCTCCAAGATGGAAAAACACGGACTTTTGGACCTGCCCCTCAAGCCGAAGCTAAGGGCAAGACACGGCGGTTCAACGCTCATCCTGCATGCGCAACAAAAACGAATGCGTTTCGCCACAGAGCGCCAGCATCGCTCACTGAGCCTGCGGCGGGAAGACTCGCCTTCAAGACGGTTGATCTCTATGCTTTGAATTGCTGACATGCTCTCTCGCTTTTCGTCGCACCCGCATCGTGTTCTCCATGAATCTGATGAAGCTCAAATGGCGACATCGTCGAAATTCGATCTCCAGAACTATTGCCGAGCCTGCTTGGCTGGACGGTGGAGTGGATAGATAGTCACGCTTCACTTCACTGGCGATCAAACGGATCATGGCTGGCAAGGAATCCGCCGATTCCGTCGCTCGATCGCATGCAATGACTCCCGTACCCGTCGTGTCGTCTCTGGGTCGATTCAAGTACCTCGAAAGTCCGATAGCGGTCTCAGCCTGGCGTTCTCCTCCCGCAAGTGGCCCTAGGGCGGGTTCGAACAAAGTCGCCCAAATCCGGCACACCTCTTTCAGCTCCGGCTGGTTCATCTCAGCTCAGGTTGTAAAGGAAGCGGCCCCGGCTGTTGGGAGACTTGGCAAACTCCAAGCCCCAGCGGGAGGGAGCCGAGATGTGATCCAGGTGCAGCATCAGGTCAAGGTCAGGATCAGCTTCCTGAGCTGCAACAACCAAGTGGCCTCCGGCCGTGTGAAAAAAAGGCCTCCCTCTTTTTGGTAGTCACCAATTCAAGTTCAAACCTCCTCCACCAACAAGATTGTGGGGCTTTTTTCGGGCCCCGCACCTGTTGCTTGGGCCATGGTAAAATGAGGGTCGAGAAGGTTTAAGTCTTGGATGTTCAATCCAAGACATGCGACCCAAGGAAGCTCAACTCTGTTCCTCTATTTGCCAAACCCGTTTTTCAGCAATCTGGAGCCTGGGGTCGGAAGGCGGTTGAAGCTCTCTATACTTCGCATGATGGGATCCAGGGACATGTTGGGTATTGATTTCGGGGTCCGCTTGGGAAGGACACTAGGAGGCATTTGGCACAGGGGAATGCAACTGAGGATTTCCTATTACACCTCGGATTACACCCTAGAAAATTGCCAAACGTATCCCAAATAAACCAAAGTGACAAGGCTTTCTCTGGACATAGGCTAGAATAGGGCGATTCCTCGGCCCCTTTGGAATTTGGCACTAACACTGTCACTATCCAGTGCTTGGAGGATAAGCTCTCTAGGTTGCCCTCGTTGCAGGTGTCACTTCCTCGCATTCCGTTGTGATTGCACTCCCGTGTGACAAAGAGTCTTGTGAAAAGAACTGAGGGCTCCCTGACAACTCTTTTTGGCCAAATGTCAGCATGGCTTCAGTGAACATATACCTGGAGAAAAAGGGCTCATAACCCCTGAATGTTGGGCAATGACCTCATCTTTTAAGGGTCGTGGAGACTTCAGGTACTGGTTGCCACCAACGAAACACGCTGCAGGGCAACTCCGCCCAGGAAGATCTCAGATCGTGTTCGTCCAAGCAGCATTGAGACAAAGGCCTGGGCCCTCTCTCGCTTCATACGGCGCGAAGAGGGGCTCCCAGCCCTGGAGCAATGCATGGCCCGTTGTCCCTAGAGACGCAATTTTCAACCGAGGAAATGCAGCCATGGCTTAACGCCATCAATCGGCTCCACTGAGAAGCACTCCTGCCATGGGTGAATTCGTTTCCAGCAATA